TTAACAATTCTAGAATAACATATATCTTATTGCAACTATAAATATTGTTAATGTTTTTTTTTTATTTTAACAATTCTAGAATAACATATATCTTATTGCAACTATAAATATTGTTAATGTTTTTTTTTTATTTTAACAATTCTAGAATAACATATATCTTATTGCAACTATAAATATTGTTAATGTTTTTTTTTTATTTTAACAATTCTAAAATAACACATAACTTATTACAACTATAAATATTGTTAATGTTTTTTTTTTAACAATTCTAGAATAACATATATCTTATTGCAACTATAAATAGTGTTAATGTTTTTTTTTATTATTTTAACAATTCTAAAATAACATATAACTTATTACAACTATAAATATTGTTAATGTTTTTTTTTTTTTAACAATTCTAGAATAACATATATCTTATTGCAACTATAAATATTGTTAATGTTTTTTTTTTTATTATTTTAACAATTCTAGAATAACATATATCTTATTGCAACTATAAATAATGTTAATGTTTTTTTTTATTTTAACAATTCTAGAATAACATATATCTTATTGCAACTATAAATAATATTAATGTTTTTTTTTTATTTTAACAATTCTAGAATAACATATATCTTATTGCAATTATAAATATTGTTAATGTTAACAATTCTAGAATAGCATATATCTTATTGCAACTATAAATAATGTTAATGTTTTTGTTGATTTTAACACATCTATGATAACATATAACTTATTGCAATTTTAGATATTGTTGATGTTTTTGTTAATTTTATCACTTCAAGAATAGATTATATCTTATTGCAACTATAAATATTGTTAATTTTATCACTTCAAGAATAGATTATATCTTATTGCAACTATAAATACTGTTGATGTTTTTGTTGATTTTAACACTTCTATAATAACATATAACTTATTGCAACTATAAATATTGTTGATGTGTTTGTTGATTTTAGCACTTCTAGAAAAACGGATTATATCTTATTGCAACTATAAGTATTGTTAATATTTTGTTGATTTTAATGCTTCTATAAAAAACCTATATCTTATTGCAACTATAAATATTGTTAATGTTTTTGTTGATTTTAGCACTTCTAGAAAAACGGATTATATCTTATTGCAATTATAAGTATTGTTAATATTTGGTTGATTGTTGATTTTGCCCGAATTTCTATTTTAGTTATGAGATTTTTGCCCGAAAAACATGCCTTCGGGGCTTCGAGGGGGCCCTTTGGCTCCTCCAGTGATTTTCGTCATTTGCCCAGAGTCCTCCCACAAAGCAATTGTGGGTACGATAGACACAACAGATAAGATCAGATTTTGGTCAATCGTTTTTCTCGAGAAAATTGCCAATGCTTAGGTCAGTGGCGGTGCCAGTAGGGGTTCAGGGGGGGGGGGGGGGGGGGGGCACTTTCCCGGCCCCCGTAAAAAAACGGTTTGCCCCCCCAATTATACCCCCCTTTTTTATACCCCCCCCCGTAAAAAGG